ATGCACACACATGCACCCAGCATCAGTTTAACCCACCAGGTCCGGGACTTGAACCACTGTTGACTACATGGGAGTTCAGCAACATAGCCTTTACACCAACTGCTGGTCCCAGGGACTCATACATTTTTTAAAAAAGAATATTTATTTAAATTTTATTTATTCAATCATTTAATTTGACTGAGAGAGACAGAGGGAGAGAGAGGGAAAGTGAGAAATCTCTGTCTGTCTGGCAAGCGCACGCGCCCTATAGCAAAAACCTCTCAAAAAAAATAGTTCACTATTGTGTTATGATCAATCATTATAACAGTAACTTTTGGTACTTAAATTATCCTATATTTGACTGGGGGTTTTCTGTCTCTGTCTGTCTGGCAAGCGCACGCGCCCTATAGCAAAAACCTCTCAAAAAAAATAGTTCACTATTGTGTTATGATCAATCATTATAACAGTAACTTTTGGTACTTAAATTATCCTATATTTGACTGGGGGTTTTCTGTCTCTGTCTGTCTGGCAAGCGCACGCGCCCTATAGCAAAAACCTCTCAAAAAAAATAGTTCACTATTGTGTTATGATCAATCATTATAACAGTAACTTTTGGTACTTAAATTATCCTATATTTGACTGGGGGTTTTCTGTCTCTGTCTGTCTGGCAAGCGCACGCGCCCTATAGCAAAAACCTCTCAAAAAAAATAGTTCACTATTGTGTTATGATCAATCATTATAACAGTAACTTTTGGTACTTAAATTATCCTATATTTGACTGGGGAACCTTTTAATGTATTATCTGGATATGTAAAAATTATATATATAATTTATTTGTTTTTAGAATTATTTAATTTTATTCACCTTTTTTTCTCCCACTCTCCCACAGGGCATGTGCACTCATCAGAGAGAGAGAGACAGAGAGGGAGGGAAAGTGAGGAAGCAAGCTGCCAGGTCTGGGACTCCATTCACCGTGGGCCATGTGGGAGTCCAGCACCTTAACTACCACTCTACCTGCTGGCCCTGGAAATGTATTTTTTGAAAAGTCATTGGCTTATATAGATCATTTCAGTTCATATCCCAGTGTTGTGGAGTTCTCCCTCACCTCCCCCCATTTTATATTTGTCTCTTTCTTCTCCCAAAGTGAAAACCTTGCTTCCCAGCACCTCCAGTATGTTTACTCATTTGCTCCATCCTTCAGTATCCTTCAGGTAGTATTGCAACACCAATATTATATCACCGACAAAGCTGCTGAATGAAGGATTTCTTTGTAATTTTCCTTTTGTCTTTAGAATACATCTCATTAAGAAGATACACTTGAATTACTATGCTCACAAGTTCCTTAAATTTATTTTTGTTATACAGTTAGGTTCTCTTGTTCTTTTTTTACTTCATGTGAAGATTTGCTTTTTGGGACCAGCAGTTAGTGTAATGGCTATGTCGCTAGACTCCCATGTAGTCAACCACGATTCATGTCCCGGACCTGGTGACTTAAACTCATGCCAGGCGCATGTGCGTGCGTGCCCAAGATCTCAAGAGGAGAAAGGAGGAGAAAGGATTGTGGCATGGCCATCCCTCCTGGGGGGTGATTCCTCGCTTTCTGTCTCTCTGTCTCTCTCTCTCTCTGTGTCTTTCTGGTGAGCGCATGTGCCCCATAGCAAAAATCTCTCCAAAAAAATTTTTAAAAAGATTTGCTTTTTCATCTTTTGAAGTCTTTTTTTTTTCTAATATCACCTACTATTCCCATGTAGTCTCTATAGAATGAGAATTAGATTTAAAAAAAAAAATTTCCAGAGGGTATATGTGCTTACCAGAGAGGGACAGTGATGAAGGAGAAGGCACCCACAGTGGGCGTGGTCATGCTGAAATCACTTCTCTTCCATTTCTCCCTTTTTTTTGGGGATTTGGGGCACACATGTGCAAGTACCTGGTATGTTTCAAGCTGCCAGGGCTGGGATTTGAACCATAGTTGGCCATGTGAGATCCAGGTCTCTATGTACAGTGCTTAACCTTTGTATATATTACCTGGCACAGTTTGCTTTTCCTGACCCTCAATAGGTGTACTAGTTGAATGGATAAAGGAGAAAAACTGTGATATTTTATTAATAAAGTGAACCTTTAATAAGTATGACATGATCTTTATTTTATTTTTTATGTTTTGCTATGGAGAGCATGTGCTTGCCTGAAATAGAGAGGGGAAGCGAGAAATCACCCCCTCTGGGAGGGTGGCCATGCTGTAGTCTCTTCTTCATCATCCTCCTCTCAGAATTTTGGGCATGCATGCACACACACCTGGCGTGATTTTCAAGCTGCCAGGTCTGGGACTCAAATTGCGCAGTTGACCATGTGGAATCCATACGTGCGCCTTAACCTCCATCGCACCTACTGGCTCATGGACTTGATAGCTCATCTTGATATGTGGCACTGCTATGTGTACCTGTAGAGTGATAATTCGGGTATTGAGGAGCATAAATATACATGCAGGAAAAAGGCGAAACTTAGTTAAATGAAGAAATACAATAAAAAAGATACACAAAGTTAAGGTGCTGGATCCCACATGGTCCCACACTGGCGATTTGAGTCCCAGACCTGGCAGCTTGAGAGTCATGCCAGATATGTGTGCATGCATGGCCATCCTGGGAGGAGACTGGAAGAGAAGGGATTGTGGCATGGCCATCTCTCTCGGGGGGTTATTTCTCATTTTCCCTCTTGGTCTCTGCCAAGTTCATATGCCCTATAGCAAAAACAAAAACCAAAACCGTAAAGGTTAACATTAAATCCAGAACATAGTTATACGTTAATAGCCTAAACTACAAGCCACGTGGTATTAGTTTTCTTTGAAAACTTTTGTGATATAGCATTTTAGATTTTTTTGATTATGCTAAGACTAAGTGTTAGGTATAGAGAATTTGTTTTCTGATTTCATTTTTTTTTTTTTAAATAAGAGAGAGCATGCAGGGGAGAAAGAGAGATGGGTATTGCTAACAGTGTCTTGTCATGTTGTGGTCTTTCTGCTACAGCCTCCTGGTCAGGTAGGACCACAGATGTGCACCACCACCCCTGGCCTAGAAACTTCACCCAGCCTTGGGAACCAGCAGTTAGCGTAATGGTTATGTCACTGGACTCCCACATAGTTAACCACGGTTCGAGTCCCGGACCCGGTGGCTTATACTCACACTGGGCACGTGTGCGTGCATGCCCAAGATCCCGAGAGGAGAATGGAGGAGAAGGGATTGCGGCGTGACCATCCCCCCTGGGGGGTGATTTCTCGCTTTCTGTCTCTATGTCTCTCTCTGTCTGGTGAGCGCACGCGCCCTATAGCAAAAAACCTCTCCAAAAAAAATAAAAAAGAAAGAAACTTCACCCAGCCTCCTATGTGGCCCCAGCAGCACCCTCCTACTTGTGCCACTGTGGCTGGGCCTTCTGATCACTTTTTTTTTTTTTTTTGCGAGGTTTTTTCTTTAGAGCATGTGTGTGTGCCAGAAAGACAGAGAGAGACAGAGAGACAGAAAGTGAGAAATCACCCCCGGGGGAGGGGGGGTGACCACACTGCAATCCCTTCTCCTCCATTCTCCTCTCCGGATCTTGGGCACGTACGCACATATGCCCAGCGTGAGTTTAAGCTACCGGGTCCGGAACTCGAATTGCAGTCGACTACATGGGAGTCTAGCAACATAGCGATCATGCCAACTGCTGGTCCCTCTGATCACATTTTTAAGACCACAAGTTGGATATTTAAAGATAAGCATTGTCTTTCCATTTCCTGAAGGAGTTTAGCAAATATTTAGGTACAAATTTGTTGCATTTTAAAAATGTTTCTCTCTCTCATTTTGTTCCCCCCTAAGAAAAACTTGTGCCAGAGAGAGGGAAAACAAAACAAAATAAAATAACAAAAACAAAAAAACAAACCAAAACAAAAAAACTCCCCAGTGGGGCCTCATCATGCTGCAGTCCTTCCTCACTCATTTTTCCTTCCCATTAGGATCTTGGGCATGTGTGTACACATGTCTGGAGTATTTTTCAAGCCACTGGGACCAGGATTCAAAGTCTGATTGGCCACATGGGATCTAGCTACCATTATACAGTGCTTAATCACTCCACTATGGGGCTGGCCTCTGTTGTTTTTTTCCTTAATTGTGTTTTTCCTTTCCTTTCCTTTCCTTTCCTTTCCTTTCCTTTCCTTTCCTTTCCTTTCCTTTCCCTTCCCTTCCCTTCCCTTCCCTTCCCTTCCCTTCCCTTCCCTTCCCTTTCCTTTTCATCAGAAAAAAAACCATAGTGCTTTTGTTTATTTATTTATTTTTACTTTTCCAAAACCTCCTTCCCTCTCTTGACCTTTCCACCTTTTATACGTGTGTGTGTATATGCATATTAGGAAAAATGACCCTTGGCAGAGAGAGGAGACGGGGTCATTTATTGTCGTGTGGAATCTCCTTTAGCAGATATACAGAATAAGATGTCAGTGACAGGTCAGACTTTAGCCTGTGACTGGTGAGGTAACACTGCCTGGCCTGCTAAGCCAATAGAAGATCTGGACTTAGTATAGACCTCAGACTCGGTTTCTGCACATGCACCCTGCCACCCTCACCCCACCCCCCAAGTGATTGTGTTTATTAGATGTAATAAAATCATTAAAAACATTTTGTCTCAAAGCTTAGGCCAGTAACCTCATCTTTCTTTCTAGTGAATGCTATTCAGTATTAGAAGAAACTTGGTTTGGTAAATTTATAATCCAAGTTTAGCCTCCTGAGTCAGCAGGATTTAAAGTGTGAATTTACTGTCCACACTGTTTCCCTCAAGCAGTTCAGACAATGGCAGAATAGACCAGTCTATCTGAGCTTCTTTTTTTTTTTTTTATTTTTTTTTAAATTTGATTATATAGCAATTATCTTATACAGCTTGTTTTAGGCATTTTTCTATGGAAGATCTACAAATAGGGACTAGGACAATGTAGTTCCATTAGTACCTAAAAATCTAAATCAGTGCCTTGAAAGCTGCTTATAATAAAAATTTCTTTCTCTTAGGGCTGCTGCTCAAAGCAAATTAAGTCATTACACAGATGCAATAAAGGACTGTGAGAAAGCAATAGCAATCGATTCCAAGTACAGCAAGGCCTATGGAAGAATGGGGTAAGTTTGGGAGAATTTTCAAAATAGTATCAAATGGTATCAGGTATACTGTTCTTTATAGCTTGCTTACCACTGCACTCTCTGAACTAATAAGAAAAGATAAGTGTAAGATTGTGATTTATGTGACTGAACAAGATAATTAGTTTTGGGAGTTTTTTTGCCTTTTTTTTTTTTTTTTTTTTTTAGGTTTTGCCAAAGACCACATGCACTCACCTGAGAGAGAAAGAGTGAGATAAATAACCCCCTTTGGGGGTGGCCATGCTGCAATTTCTTTTCCATTCTCTTCTTGGGATTTTGGGCATGCACATACACTTGCCTGGTGTGATTTTCAAGCTGCTGGGTCCCAGATGACCATGGTTGGCCATCTGGGAATCCAGTGCCTTAACCACCACGCCACCTGCTGGCCACTTCTGTTCATTTTCTTTAATACTGCCCGTATTATTTGCATGCATGTCGCATGTGTTCCTCAAGTAGAATGAAATTTTCTTAAAGTCAGGAACTTTATCTTTTGTTGTTTTGTGAAATCCTTGGTATCTAAAATAATATCTCATACATTGTAGAGTTTCAAAAAATATGGACTGATCATTAACTGGGCACTCTGATAAAGTAGTTTTTGTGGTTGACTGGTAGAAAACTAATTATATTATGATAGTTTTTTTGTGGTTAGCACTATATTTTATCTAGATGAAAAGTCCATGCATGTCAAAAAAGATAGAATCATAGTAATTTGTTAAAAATAAAAAGTTTCAATACTATCATTCTATGTAAACACAATATTGTTTAGTTCCAAAATGATCTTCCAATAGCTAAGTTATGAGCTAGGTGAAGATAAATATTAAAACTCATTAACTAATTCTATGACTCATGCCTGGGATAAAATTTGCTATTTGAGTTATAAAAGGAGCTAATTTTATATATTTAACAACTGATCTGTCCAGTTCAAGCATAGTCATCTGGTACTCCTTAGCTCTTCACCCCTCGTTGTTTAAAAGGCAAATTGATATTTACTGTAGCTCAGTCTCTGTCAGGAAGGAGGAAGAACATGGTACATTTTGACCCACAAATACTCTTTAGAATTGAAGATGGTGTTAGCTTTTAGGTTTATATGACCACAGGGTTGTTAGATACCTTACTAGGCATTCTTGCAGCACATTATTTTTTACATTAGGCTCTTAAAAAAGGAAAAGAGCAAGGTTAATGGCTAAACATTAAGTTCATGATCCAATAGGATAACTGAGGTTGTCAGCACCAAAATAGTGAGTCCAGACTTACAGAATCAGAGAGAAATCTGGGTCCAGAGGTGGCATAGCAGTTATGGCACTGGGCTCCCACGTGGCTCACCGCAGTTTGAGTCCCATACCCAGTGGCTTTAAACTCATGCTTCCTGGTATCTTGGGCACATGCTGGCTGTATGTGTGTGTGTGCCCAAGACACCAGGAAGAGAATGGAGATGAAAGGTTTGCAGCATGGCTATCTCCCAGGGAGTGATTACTTGGTTTCTCTTTCACTGTCTCTGTCTCTATCTCTGTATGTCTGGTGAGTTCACTCACCCCAAGGCAAAAGCTCCTTTTAAAAAGTTAGAGGGAAATTTTAGTGATATTTATGTGAGCCATCATACAATGAATGAATTAGAAGAGTCATCTGGATTAGAACTGAGAATCAGAAAAGTGTTTGACTGTGGGACCAGCAGTTAGCGTAATGGCTATGTCGCTGGACTCCCATGTAGTCCGCTGCGGTTTGATTCCCGGACCAAGTGGCTTAAACTCACCCTGGGTGCGTGTGCGTGCGTGCCCAAGATCCTGAGAAGAGAATGGAGGAGAAGGGATTGCGGCATGGCCATCCCCCCCCGGGGGGTGATTTCTCGCTTTCTGTCTCGCCGTCTCTCTCTCTCTTTCTGGCGAGTGCATGAGCGCTATAGCCAAAACCTCTCCAAAAGAAAAAAAAAAAAGAAAAGAAAAATGTTTGACTGTGGTTGTGATGTCTTGATGTCCTCTCATCATGTATTTTGTACTCTTATACCCTGTATTTCCTACAGGCTGGCCCTCACTGCCATGAATAAATTTGAAGAAGCAGTTACAAGTTATCAAAAGGCATTAGATCTTGACCCTGAAAATGATTCCTATAAGTCAAATCTGAAAATAGCAGAACAGAAGTTAAGAGAGGTATCTAGTCCTGTAAGTTGTTATGTCAAATGAGTGAAATGTTTTATGTCATTTGTGATTTAATGTAATTAAATTATACCGGTTGGAATGATTCACAAATGTAATTGTTTTACAGACAGGAACTGGATTGAGCTTCGATATGGCTAGCTTAATAAATAATCCAGCCTTCATTAGTATGGTGAGTATATTCCCTTTTCTTTGCCCTATTGGCTTTATTTTTCATAGAGCAATGTAGTTCCTAATTTCTTAGAGGTAAATAAGGGAGCTTTTATGATAGTGGTGGGAGTGGAATGTTGTGGCGAAGGTTTCGTGATAGAAAAGTCTTTTGAAAAATTGTAAGGGTTCCCCCCAAATACCATTTTTTTAATGATAGCATGAGAGAGAGAGAGAGAAAGAGAGAGAGAGAGAGAAAAAAAAGCATCTTCAACAGACAGTGTTGTCATGTCACAATTCTCTTTCCAGCCCTCCAGCTCTTCAGGATCTTGGGTGTCTGTGTGCACACAAGGCATGTTTTCAGGCTTGTCCAGGGATCTTAACCTGTGGTCAGTCATGGCTTCCAGCCTTGCAGGGCACTTCATTACTGTGGTTCACAGCAGCTGAGTCTCTCATCAAATTTAAATTATTATTTTTTTTAACCTACCTAGCAGCAAACAAATGTCTTTTTGCAGGTTTTGTGACATATCTTTCTTTTAAAAAAAATACTTATTCATTTAATTTTATTTATTCATTAATTTATTTTAATTTGACAAGAGAGCAACACAGAGAGAGAGGGAGAGATTGAAAGTGAGAAAGCAAGCCATCAAGTCCAAGACCCAAACCGTGGTCGGCCATGTGGGAGTGTCCAGTGCCTTAACCATGATGCCACCTGCTGGCCCCCATTGTGACATTTCTTAGCATGTTACCCATTTCCAGGACTCAGGTTAGGCTATTGTTGACAGGATGTAGAAAATGGAATTCTTTTAGTTTCAGAGTTGTCTTATGCTCTAAGTTGCTGCTGTGTGCCAAGATAAGATGAGACCACCATGTATGAGTTATAAAAGGTGGGGGTTAAAACTCGTTTTGTGACTTTTAAGAACAGGTCAGACTGATAGAGATGACAAGAGGGTTTTTGGAGTCAGCTACTGGATTTCCACAGCCTTGCTTCATTTGCGAAGAAAGTGAGGTGCCCTGCCCTTACCTCTAACCTATTGAGAAAGGCTTTTCTGGTCTACCTGGAGCTTTTAATCTGGCCCTCAGTTGGGAAACCAGTGGACTAGTGCCTGACTTCCCTGCTAGAGAAGCCAGTGGCAGAACGAGCTTCATGGCTGGGCAGTCACAGCATCGATGACAGAGGAGCAGAAGTATTTCCTGTGGATGAAGGTGAGCACACATGCACTGAGATAGTGTGATATGCTCAAGAGGGCTCTTGGAAGTACGAGGACCCTAACTCAGAGACTTTCTGGAGGGTTGCTAAGAACCCGAGGCCAGAGGGGAAGTCATAGTATCCATTCAGAGAATAATTTGCCCTCCTCAGGAAATGTATAAGAAATCTCCAATGAGGTGCAATGGAATAAACATCTGGAGAACCTCAGAAAGTGCCTCTTCAGAGAACTAGAGTAATTTTAACACCTTACAAGCCCACAGAGCACAGTATAAACCAGTAAGATCTTATAGTGCCAGGCATCAAATAAGAATTTTCATGCCTCCTTTACCTCTCTTACCTCCACTTGACCTTGACCCTGTAGGCCCGAACTCTTGGTCTGCCAGCTAAGGGAAGAGGAGTAGAAGCAGTATAGGGGAAAAAAAAAAAAAAAGCACCCAACTGTGCCTCTCTTTTTTACTGAAATTCCCCATAGTGGGGAGGGCAAATTTTACCTGTCAGTGATGTTTTATGTATTTGGTCATTACACTGAGACATTAATTACTAAACTGGGGGCCTTTTTTTTTTTTTTAAATGTAAAACAAGAAGATGACTTCATTTCAAGAGACCAGAAAAGCCACTAAGACCTGTTCTAAATTTCTTCTAGGTCCTAGATTCGTAGAGAAAGGGAAGAACTGCTTTTAAAAATAACTTTTAAAAGTTCTGCTTTTGCAGAACTGTGTAATAGGATTTCGAAACAAAATGCTTTATGTTTATAGCTCATAAACCTTGGCTTTTCCTGTGTAATGTCCCTAGTACTCATGGGTTGGCTCAGAGGCACCAATCTTGACTAATACTTGAGGAAAATTTTTACATTATTTACAGGTCAGAAACATCTGTGTGATAATAAAAGCGAGTGGTCAAGCTGTGGTGGCACAGTTAATACTGTATTGAACTGCAGTCCTGGAAGCCACATGGCTGACCTCTGATTCCTAGCCTGAAGTAAACTGGACATGTGCATAGGTGTCCAAGATCCCAAGGAGCTACAGGGCTCAGGAGATCACAGAGTGATGACAACTGAGACCTTGTTAAGGCCATGTCCCTCTCTTTTTGTCTCATATGCATGCACTATCATGAATAAAAAATAAACAAAAAAAAAGAGGGGCAAGCAGGTGGTGTGGTTAAGGTGCTGGGTTCCAACATGATCGACTGCATTCGAGCCCTGGACCTGGTGGCTTGAAAGTCATGCCTGGCACATGTGCATGCTCAAAATCCTGACAGGAGAGGGGAGAACGTGTTGTAGCACAACCATTCCCCCCGGGGTGGGGGGGAGGATTTCTTACTTTCTCTGTCTTTCTCCGGTGAGAGCACATATTCTACAGCAAAAACCTTTAAAATAAAAAGGAAGCAGTAATTTTTCCCAAAACTGAACTCGGAGTCAGCGAATAAAAATGAGCTGTTGGGGGCCAGCAGGCTTTGTGGTTAAGGTGCTGGACACCCCATGGTTGATCACAGTTCGAATCTCAGACCTTATGGCATGCTTTTTCAGTCCCCCCACCCCATTATTTCTGGCTGGTGAGTGCATGTGCCCTATAGCAAATTAAAATTATAATAAATTTTAAAAATTGATTATAGTATATAAGGATTTAGACCAAATTCTTTGATGTTGACAGGAATAATTTGAGATTAAAAAAATATGCTTTCAAAATAGAAAGTTTTAAAAATGTGCTTGTGGGAACCAGCAGATGGCATAATGGTTACATTGCTGGACTTCCACATAGTTCAATGCAGTTTGAGTCCCAGACCTGGATACCTGCAACTCACACCGTTGCTGGACTTCCACATAGTTCAATGCAGTTTGAGTCCCAGACCTGGTTGCTTGAAACTCACGCTGGATGTGTGTGTGTGTGTGTGTGTGTGCCCAAAATTCCAAGAGGAGAATGGAGACGGGATTGCAATGTGGCCATCTCCTCTGGGGGATGATTTCTTGCTTTCTGTCTTTCTGTCTGTCTCTTGCAAGTGCTATAGTAGAACTCTCTCTGTCTAAAAAAAGTGTGTGTGTGTGTGTGTGTGTGTATGTGTATGTGTATATAAGTACAATTCCTCATCCACTATAAGCATGAGAATACAAACTCCTGGGCCCTATAGAGCAGTCACATCTTTTAAGGGTACCTGGAGTGGACCCTCTCAAGTGTAGGATAGTTTTGTTTTGTTTTGTTTTTTGAGAGGTTTTTGTTATAGGGCACGTGCGCTCACCAGGAAGAGACAGAGAGAGAGACAGAAAGTGAGAAATCACTCCCCCCAGGAGGATGGTCATGCCACAATCCCTTCTCCTCCATTCTTCTCTCAGGATCTTGGGCACGCACGCACACATGCCTGGTGTGAGTTTAAGCCACTGGGTCCTGGACTCGGACGGTGGTTGACTATATGGGAGTCCAGTGACAGCCATTACACCAACTTCTGGTTTTGAAAACTTTTGAAACTACTTTTGGGATTTCTATTTTTCTTTTTGCTTGATTGATCTGATCAGTAGTAGTAAGTAAACTAACATCAGAATCCTTAGTTTACAGTGTTGTCTGTAATCACTTTATCCCTGTAGTGTCTTTTTAATGCCACTTTTTCTAGTTCCTTCTCTGTTTATATTACCATTTACTTTGGGTAGCATAGTAAAACTCTACAAGATGGCAACACATGTATGGTTTAGCTTTTATTCCTCTATTAAAAAAATTGTTCAAAAATCTTATATTTTAACTGCTTTAGGGGCCAGCTGGTTAAGATGCTGGATTTCCACATGAATGACTGTGGTTTGAGTCCCACTCCTGGCAGCTTAAAAATCATGCTGGGAATGTGTGTGTACATGCCCAAAATCCCAAGAGAAGAATGAGAGAAGGGATTGTGGTATGCCCAAGGCCCCAGGGGGTGCTTTCTTACTTTCCCTGTCTGTCTCTGGCGAGTACATAATACTCTATGGCAAAACCCCAAATAAATAAATGTTAACTGGGGCCAACAGATGGCATAGCACTTACATTACTGGATTCCCACATGGCCGACCACGGTTTGAGTCCTGGACCTGGTGGCTTGAAAGTCATGTGCACGCATGTATGCATGTTTGCCCAAGATCTCAGGAGGAAAATGGAGAAGGGATTGCAACTTGCCCATCCCTCCTGGGGGATGATTTCTCACTTTCCCTCTCACTGTCTCTTTCTCTCTTCAGTGAACACACACACCCTAAGGCAAAAACCTCTAAAAAAAATAAGTTAAAAAAAAAAGTTAACTGCTTTTGGACCGGCAGGTGGTATGGTGTTTAAAGGCACTGGATTTCTATATGGCCAACAGCAATTTGAGTCCTGGACCTGGTGGCTTGTTTTCTTGCTTTCCCTTTCTCTCTCTGGTCAAATTAAAAAATAATTATAACAAATGAAATTAAAAAACAATTCTTTTTTTAAAAAAATAAATAACTGCTTTTAATAGATGCTATTTTTTAATTCCAGGCAGCAAGTTTAATGCAGAATCCTCAAGTTCAACAGCTGTAAGTATGTGGGAAGAGCTTATTACATGTTCTGCTTCTGCTTGCCAAGCTCCTAATTGAGCATATCAGCTCAGAACTGACCATATTGGCCTGAATGCCAGTCATTTGGAACTAACCTCTTATATACATTTGGCCTAATGTCTTATATAATGTGGGTATATTAAGCTGACTTTTCCTTGGCCAGTCATCCTACTTATTAAGAATTATGCCAGTCCTGGTGATTTATCTCTTGCATACTCTAGGATGTCAGGAATGATGACAAATGCCATTGGAGGACCTGCTGCTGGAGTTGGGGGTCTAACTGACCTGTCTAGCCTCATCCAAGCGTAAGTATTACCAAAACAGAAATAGTGAAAATCTACTTAATGTTATTATATATTTTGTCTGGAAGATGAGGAATCAAGGAATTCTTTTTTTTTTTTTTTTTTAATTTTCTACTGTAATTAGGGGACTTCTGAAAGTTAGTAAATCTGAAAGAAATTCGTAAATTAGAATTACTTTTGAGACTGAAAAGCAATAATCTAGAAGATCTGTGTTGTCTGGCCAGCTCTTTAGATATGCAACCATGTGTGTTCAATACACTTTTGTTTTTAGGGTTTTTCAGGTATCAGGTTTTTGTTGTTGTTGTTTTTTGTACAGTAAGGCAGATGAGAGGCATATTAGTGGAAGAAGAGCAGGTAATTTACACCTCTATTCAATAGCCACAGAAACCAAGGTTTGGGTTAGTGACTTACAACCATAGCAGAGCTAGGTGTACATTCAGTCTTTTGATTTGCAGCCTAATTTTTCATTACTCAATTGTGTTGTCAGTATAAAATTAGGGTCCTCAGTTTCTTAAGTGGGGATATTAATTTTTGTCACTTTTATTTAGAGCTGGTCCTAGGGACCTGGCCTTTTTTTTTTTTTTTAAGTTTATTTATTTATTTATTCTTTAAGAGAGAGAGACAGATAAGTACCTTCCCAGGATATAATACAAGAAAACAGGGTTCTCATGCCATGACTGGCCCCGGTCTTGGCCATTCAGGATCACAAGCATGTGTGCGTGTGCACTCAGTGTATACAGAGAGACCTGGGAATATGAACCTGGAATCTTAGACATGGCTTCAGCATCATGGAGTGTTGCATTAAACTATGTGCCACCACATCTGGCCAATCTGCTGCTTTCAAGGGCATGGAATAAAGGTAAAAATCTTGTGCCCACAAATATTGTGAGCTCATATACAAAGCAGTTAATCCTCCATTTTTCCCAATGAAAATCCAACAGAAAGTTTTTTGCAGACTTCAGTAAATACAAAGGGTTGTAGATAGTCAACATTTGCTTAAAATGTTTTAATTTAGATATTTGTATATATTTTAAAATCGTGTTACTTATATTGATGTTCAGACAATTTAGGAGCTATTTTATTCAAATTTTCCAGTATCTGTCATCACTTAAGGGAGCTCCTGGCATCTTTTTGTTGCTAGAGCATATTATCTTCATGTCTATCCAGATTGCTAAAGAGATGTTGATTTTTTTTTGTGTCTTATGCTATCACTGAAAATTTTATATGAAGTCACAAGTACTATTTGCTGTTTGTGATCACAACTATGTAACCACTTAGAACATTGCATTTTTAGTGATCTTTAAGTGGCATATTATAGTGATGTCTGATGGTTGCAACTGAGTCATACCATCAAGGATTTGTGTTGATTTTCTCTGCGTTTTAAAAAATCAGTCATTAGGTGATCTTTATAAGCATACCAAAGTGGGTATGATACCTTGTCCAATGGAAGACACTAAATATTTAAGAGCACTGTATTAGAAGGTGTAAAATAAAAGCATATCCTTTTCGGTCCTTTGCTTAATTTGTTATTAAGCCCTAGAGGGGTAGATTTCACCCAATTCAGGAACTCATTTTTTTTAAGAGCTTGAATGTTTAGTTTCTTATAAAGAACACTGCATTGTAATAGAGCTGTGCGGAAGGATTGGTAAACTTGCAGATACTAAACTCACAGTTGTGAAACTCGTTTTTATATAAAAAGTTCCCTTTGGGTAGTCCCCACATCTTCTTCAGTTATTTCTGAAAGTGTACTGCATGCCTGGCGATTGCCTAATTCATACCGCTTTGCCTTTTTACCACAGGGGGCAGCAGTTTGCTCAGCAGATACAACAACAGAATCCTGAACTTATAGAGCAACTGAGAAATCATATCCGGAGCAGATCGTTCAGCAGTAGCACTGAGGAACATTCCTGACTTGACCAGGAACCCTAGCCCACAATGCGAATGGTTTATGGTCCTGAAGTATTCACTGTAGATAATGGCCAAAACCACCCAACCAACTAAACAAAGCACCATATCTGGTCTCATAACGGAGGAGGACATCTTCTGTACATTCTTAAAAAATAAATCTGTTTAGACAATAGTTTCATCACAAACAGATTTAAAACTAACACAACTCCTTTGGAAACAAATGAGCAGTAGCCTTGTTAAGTGCCAGTATAGCACTGCAACAGGGTTCCATTTTCAAACTTTTATCTTCCTATTTGTATATTAGACTTCATAGCAGAGTATATTTATTGAACAGTACGACTGTTCATTGGTGACTTTTTCAGTTCCAGTACCTTTAGAGTTTATTGAGAGGTAGATGACCAAAAGGAAGGATTTCCCATTCTGTTTAGAACAAACAGATTTGCTACCTAGCAGCATTTCAAGAGAGAAGAAATTTCTTATCTTGGTTTACCTGGGTCAGTAATAAATGTATTACATAGGTGCCAGTACTTTCTTTAATGCTGCTTGATCTGATGAAAAGACAGGGAATTGGAAGAGCTTGTATATAGAAGCATTTGGTACAAGGAATGTTTTGAAAAGAAAAAATAATGTGAACATGTAGTAGAAAGGAAAGGTAGGATGCTCAGGTTTTCTGCATAGTTCAGAACTCATTTTTGTCTGCAGTTTGGTATTGATATTAGCATGGCCAGTTATGCTAATACATAATAAAATACATTTAGAAATCTTTAATGATTCTGGTTAGGTCAGTCATATAACTGTTTGACTTAATCATGACAGTTTTCCTGGTGGTAACCTTACCTTTGAAACAATCAGAAACACCTAGATTTAAGTAAGCCAGTGGCTTGGACCTAAGTTAAGGATTTTCTGAGTGACATTTTATTATGTATGCATAAACATTAATTTTCTAAAAACTTAGTAATTATTTGATAGGTAACAAAAAAGCATTTATCACTAACATTGCTTGCTCATGTAGTCATCTGCTATAATTTGGCTTGGCATGCTAGTATTATGCTTAACCTTAATTGGATATAATTTAAACATAATAGGAGACTTTTTTGTTTATTAATCATAAAATTAGTGAAATGAGGCTGACATGTAACAATCTCACAAGTTTTGTGAGGGAAAACTGAAGAAGAAAATAATACAAATCAGTTGTAATGGTGATAATCAGGGCCTACTATAAAACTGTTCTCAAAAGACTAATTATTTGGTATCCTGAAGCTTAAAAACCAACTTTTTATTTCTTTGTGTGAAATTAGAACAGTGGTTATATAATTATACTGTAAGAACCACCTGAGGAATTTATTAAAGATGCAGATTCAGGACACTTTTGTTTTGATATACTAGGTCCTACAATAAAGCCTGGGAATCACCATTTTAAACAGTGCACTAGATGGTTCTGATGTAGGTCCAAGGACTCTAATTTAAAGCAACACTAGGTTGGAGATTTTTTCTTAATTAGACCAGCAATACCCAAGCACCTGGGCTCAGGCAAAAATAATTTTAGATGAACCCATAGTTCCAGCCTGAGAAGAACAGGAGTTAAATCTTAGATCATCTTAAGTGATATCTCTTAGACTCTACCAAAATGAACTCAGTGTTTCATGAAGTTAGACTTAGCTCCTAGTGTCCATGTGTTTAACAGAATGAAGTACTGTTACTAATCACATGAACATTCTATCATTTAAAAAGCAGCAGCAGAGTAGATCCTTAATTAAAAATTAGGCACTCTTATCTAGTGTTGAAGTTCAAGTTTCTAGCAAAACTATTTTAAGTGCATTAAAAATGTTTTCAGATCAATAAAATTGACAAGTCTCTAGCTGACTAGAAAAACTGAAGAAAAATAAAAATTATTAGTATCAGACGTGAAAGAGGGGATATATAATAGACCCTATAGATACAGGATAATCAGAAAATACTAGACTAACTCTAGACTTATATATTAAAACTTAACTTAGATGAAATAGACCAATCAGGTTTTCTGCATAGTTCAGAACTCATTTTTGTCTGCAGTTTGGTATTGATATTAGCATGGCCAGTTATGCTAATACATAATAAAATACATTTAGAAATCTTTAATGATTCTGGTTAGGTCAGTCATATAACTGTTTGACTTAATCATGACAGTTTTCCTGGTGGTAACCTTACCTTTGAAACAATCAGAAACACCTAGATTTAAGTAAGCCAGTGGCTTGGACCTAAGTTAAGGATTTTCTGAGTGACATTTTATTATGTATGCATAAACATTAATTTTCTAAAAACTTAGTAATTATTTGATAGGTAACAAAAAAGCATTTATCACTAACATTGCTTGCTCATGTAGTCATCTGCTATAATTTGGCTTGGCATGCTAGTATTATGCTTAACCTTAATTGGATATAATTTAAACATAATAGGAGACTTTTTTGTTTATTAATCATAAAATTAGTGAAATGAGGCTGACATGTAACAATCTCACAAGTTTTGTGAGGGAAAACTGAAGAAGAAAATAATACAAATCAGTTGTAATGGTGATAATCAGGGCCTACTATAAAACTGTTCTCAAAAGACTAATTATTTGGTATCCTGAAGCTTAAAAACCAACTTTTTATTTCTTTGTGTGAAATTAGAACAGTGGTTATATAATTATACTGTAAGAACCACCTGAGGAATTTATTAAAGATGCAGATTCAGGACACTTTTGTTTTGATATACTAGGTCCTACAATAAAGCCTGGGAATCACCATTTTAAACAGTGCACTAGATGGTTCTGATGTAGGTCCAAGGACTCTAATTTAAAGCAACACTAGGTTGGAGATTTTTTCTTAATTAGACCAGCAATACCCAAGCACCTGGGCTCAGGCAAAAATAATTTTAGATGAACCCATAGTTCCAGCCTGAGAAGAACAGGAGTTAAATCTTAGATCATCTTAAGTGATATCTCTTAGACTCTACCAAAATGAACTCAGTGTTTCATGAAGTTAGACTTAGCTCCTAGTGTCCATGTGTTTAACAGAATGAAGTACTGTTACTAATCACATGAACATTCTATCATTTAAAAAGCAGCAGCAGAGTAGATCCTTAATTAAAAATTAGGCACTCTTATCTAGTGTTGAAGTTCAAGTTTCTAGCAAAACTATTTTAAGTGCATTAAAAATGTTTTCAGATCAATAAAATTGACAAGTCTCTAGCTGACTAGAAAAACTGAAGAAAAATAAAAATTATTAGTATCAGACGTGAAAGAGGGGATATATAATAGACCCTATAGATACAGGATAATCAGAAAATACTAGACTAACTCTAGACTTATATATTAAAACTTAACTTAGATGAAATAGACCAATTCTTTTTATAGAAAAACTACCAAAAATCACTTTAGAAATGGGGGTCTGAATAGATCTATATTTATTAAGGAAACAGAATTTGTACTTAAAACCTTACAAAAAGAAAAACAGGCTCAGATGACTTAAGTGGATTTTCTGAGTAACATTTTATTATGTATGCATAAACATAATAAAATCCTACCAAATACTTAAGGGAGAAATAATATCAATTCTACACAATCTTGTCCAAAAAAGAAGAGAAGGAAAATCTTTGCAACTCATTTTATGTGGCTAGTATTACCCTGATAAAATCAAAGACATCATAAGACAAACACTTTAATAATCTCTTCATGTGCTATTATCTGTAATGAAGTTGGCTATTCCCAATAATTGGAATTGGTATTTCTTCCATTTCACATTTCTAGTTTGTTTCTTTGCTGATATATCACTTATAACAAATTCAATCCACAGATATCTGTCCACTTACCTGGATTTCCATTCTATTCAGGCCATTTTTGTTTTTCAGGTACCTTGATCCATTTGGAATCACTGCTCACAAACTATTTCTACTAAGTTTTGTGTGGTTGGGTTTGCTAGCTACTCAAAATTGTAAGCAATGCCCCATATATTTTCTTGTCTGGAAAATACTGTTGCTATCTAACTAGAGAGACGAGGGGGGATTAAAGAACATCTTTATATACATTCTACTTAGGGATGCTTTACTTCCATTAACCACATTTCATTGTTGTATCTATAGGTGTTAAAATGCTATGTAAAACTGAACATGTCTTTTTAATGCAAATGACATCTTTATTTAATATACTAAGTTATTTAGTTTTAAAACTATAGTTTGAACAGATCCAATCTAAGATGGCATTATCTAACCTTTAAAATCAATGCGTGTTACTGTTTATAAACAAAAGAGACTCTGTAATTAAATCAAAGTACATAGAAGATTCCAAGTGATCATTCTGTTTTTAAATTTGAAATAGAGTTAAACAAAAGTTTTGGTCACAAGAAGATACTTGAAAAATGATCAAAGTATCCAGTAAAGTGGCTATAAAGTCTGATTTCATCATTTAATCAGTCTTAATCATTTTGGAAGAAAGATGACATCAGTTTTACATGGCTTGCACTTTATTTTGCACAGACATTTCATTAACTGTTACTCCAGTATGAGATGCAATCTTGAATATAGCTTTCATTTCGGACCAAATAATTTGTCATGGCAATAAATAATTATGCATTTAAGAAAAATCAAGTTTTGTATTTGACTTAATGTACTCTTACATTTTTAAGGAATTATATATATATACATTCTATAATTTCAACTTGCTAGAATAGGACAGCTTTTATTTAACAGCACAAGCTTTTATTTTCCTGAAAAAATATTGAAACTTTTTGTTAGGTTCATGTTAAAAAGTGGCTTACAACCTTTTTTTTTTTAAAGAATTATTTTATTTAACTTTATTTATTTAAATTTGACTAGAGAGGGACAGAATGAGAGAGAGAGAGAGGGAAAGTGAGAAAGCAAGCTGCCAGGTCTGGGACTCGAACCACAGATGTGGGAATCCAGCATCCTTAACCACCACACCACCTGCGGGCCCCAGTTGTTCACAATCTTTTTTTTTTTTTCCACAATCTTAACTTTAAAAAAAAATTACAAAAAGAAGCAGCAAAGTTACCCTTAATTTAAAATTAGTCACTTATCTAGTGATAAAGAAGTTCAACACTAATTTTTAATTAAGGATCTACTTTGCATACATTTGACAGACAGAAAATGAGAAAAAAGTACCCAGTGTTCACACTGAAATCCCTTTTCCATTTTACCATCCTGTCCTAATTCTGGTCATGCACGTACACATACACATAGCATGTTCTTCAAGCTGCCAGGGCTGAGATTTCAATTGCAGTCTGCCATGTGAGATCTGCTTCCTTTAACCACTAGGCTATTGGGCAGCCCTACAAGCTTGACTTTTTTTTTTTTTTGAGAGGTTTTTGCTATAGGGCGTGTGCACTCACCAGACAGACAGAGAGAGACAGAGAGACAGAAAGCAAGAAATCACTCCCCTGGAGGGATGGCCACGCTGCAATCCCTTCTCCTCCATTCTCCTCTCGGGATCTTAGGCACACACGCACACGTGTCTGGCATGAGTTTAAGCCACTGGGTCTGGGACTTGAACTGCGATTGACTACATGGGAGTCCAGCGACATAGCCATTATGCTAACTGCTGGTCCCCAAGCTTGACTTTCTCACTCTGTTCATGGCATAAGTAAATAAATATGGTTATATGGAAACATAGGTTTTATAATATGGCTCAGCTGAGGTGGTTCTGGCAGTAGGGGTGCTGCTGTGTGATGCTGACAGTCATATGGGAAGGTTCCTGGTTAGTGTCCTGGGTCTGCTTGATCATGCTGGACATGCCTGCTGATCCAATCGTGAACCTGGCTGGCTGCAGGGCTGGAGGGGATCACACTATGGAGAACCTGTTGAGTGTGACTCACTATCTCAGAAAATAAAGAAGCTTGGAAAAAAGGAAGTTTTAGCATATAAATGAATGATGTATGTGTATGTGCATGCCCAAAATCAAAGTCAAATATCAGAAGACAGGAATTCTTAACTATGCTGTATGAAATAAGTGGCTTACTTTTCAGTGGGTAAAACAACCAGGAGTTTTGAGCTTAGAATGTTAGGCGGCTTCTTAGTTAAAAGCTAATTGAATAATCAAACTGAGAAAAAAACCCAATTTTGATCACTTTCAGTACCTACAAAGTTAGTGTGTGTTTGTATGTACACACACAGATTCATACCAATGTGACAGTTTTGAACACAAAAGCTCATACTGTGTTAGGAAATGTCATGTGACAGGAGGAAATCCTATAGAGTGTTTTAAGCAAACTGTTTCTTGACTGAGAAGCTATGGAAAAAACTGAACTGAAACATTTCTAGACAAAGTATTATGAGAATCCTAAAGTTCTAACAATTTTCTTCTAAATGGAGGTCAGCAAATTATGGCCTGCAGGCCAGATCTGGCCAGCTGCCTGTTTTAACCACTGTACTTTTTGCCTACTGGCTACGCTCCCCACTCCAAAGGCAGAGTTCACTATTGTGACAGATGGCAGGTAGCAAAGCCAAAACATATTTAAGCGCCTTATACTTTACATAAATCGTTTGCTGACTCCCGTTACTTGCTAGAAGCTTTTAAAGAACAAAGCCCAATGGCTGTCTAACATGAGATGAAATTATATATACAGAAAATATACACATGTTAATTTAGAATAAAACTCACAAGGTAAAATCAGTAGATGGTTTTTTCAAAACAAGTATTTACTATTTTAACTTACAGGGAAAAAAAGTAAATAACAGATACTTAATTTTACTGCTGACTTGATTATTTTACAAAGGTGACAAAAAATACAGAAAGCAGTTCTGTGAAACTAAACAAAACGTAGAACACTGGAGAATTCCTTCAGCTCTCCACTTCAATAGCTGAAGATACCACACAGACTTGTGCGATGTCATCATATTCGTATGTTCTCTTTAAGAAAGTGTCCGTTAGTCTTAAGCCAGAGACGCTCTATTGAGAGAAAGACATGGGCTTAAGTTTAAATTCACTGGCAGTTAACAGAGAAAATATGGATGTAATAAATCACAGTAGCAGCCCGCAAATACTGAAGTTACTGAAAAGAGAGCGTACTTGCAGTCCCTGTACTGAAGACAGTAGAGTAAGGGCAAGGCAGAGAGAGGAACTTGGATGGAGCTTCCCAAGCTGTCTTCCTGAAATGCCACACCAGTGGATAGAGCTGGTATTGCACATTTCCAAAACCAGGTCCATAGTCCTTTCACTGCTAGATGAATCAGAAAACAGGAATAAATCTTGTTCATTTCACAAAGAGGTACTATGACATTTTCCCCCCTGTCAGTAAAGTTTTTTTTGGATGCCCAGAAGAACAAAACAAAAACTGAGAAAAATTATGTCATTTTTATTTCACTTAAGATGGAATCAGGAAAATGATGTGGCATCTTCCAGAACTTAAAATAGCCTCAGACGAATCTGCCTTCTGGTTCTATTACTGAACATGGGGCTTCCTGGTGCTGATCTGTTAATAGCTTTTTGCCATTTTCCTAACAGACTTCGAAACATGTGTCTAATCTTGCTGCTATGTAGTCTTACTGATTCTGTTAGGTACCCTACAAGAAAAAAAAAGAAAAAGCTGAGCCTGGTCTAGTGGTTTTGGTCTTTAATCTATGTTCTTTTACCATGCAGATAACTTAGAAAATGACCAATAAAATTCATAAGTAAATGCTATCGAGGTTTGCTCCCTGTATTACTTACCATGAAAAGACTGCTTCTGCTTATAACTGGTATCACCAGTTCAGCTTAAACATGTTAAAAAGCTTTTAGGGGCCAGCAGTTGGCGTAGTGGTTAAAGGTGCTGGACTCCCACAGGGCCGACTACAGTTCGAGTCCTGGATCTGGTGGCTTGCTTTCTCACTTCTCTCTCTCTCTTGCTCTGTTCCTCTCTGGTCGAATTAAATAAATAAATACATAAATACATAAATAAATAAAGTTAAATAAAAAAGAATTCTTAAAAAAAAGAAAACATGTTAAAAAGCTTTTAATGGAACTATGTGTATGTACATATGGTTAATCCCAGGAGATGTATACATGCACAGAGAAATAAATAGAGCACACCCTGCAATGAAGCTTGGTCCTATTGCAACTCATTTTCCTCCAGTTCTCCCACCCACTGGGATCCTAGGAAGTATGCATATTCTGATGTTTCTTCCAAGCTACTGGAAACTTGATGGGTCATGTGGGATCTGGCTTCCTCTGTGCAGTGCTTAAATGCTGTTCTACGAGACTGGCTCCCTTTTTGCTTTTTTAAATAATCAAGATTATAATGAAAAACAGTCTCCAATGCTACCACCATTCATGGGTACCTTCTAGGTTTTTTTTTTTTTTTGTCCTCATACATGACTCCATATTTTAGAATGAATTATTTTATTATTTAAAAATTTTGCTATAGAGCACATAAGCTCACCAGAGAGACAAGGAGAGGGAAAGGGACAAAGCAAGCTGCCAGGACCAGGCTTTAAACTGCAGTAGGTCACATGGGAGTCCAGTACCCTCACACCATGCCACCTGCTGGCCCATAGACTCCATATTTTAAAATCTTTACATTTTTAATTACTTTAGATATTAACTTTTATATTAGCTTTTATACATCTTTATCTTCCTAATAAGCATTTGAAATACCCTCTATGTGCCAGAAACCAGTTTAGAGGTATTATGTAAATCTTTTCTCTTACTAGAATTTTGTGGAACTTTAAAAGTCTAGTAAAATTTGTGTATACAGACATTCTTCACTTAATGACTGACTTCTGTTCCTATAACTAGGTTGTTAAGCAAATTGGTCAATAGGCGAGGAGCTAAAAAGGCAGATTTTTCACGGGTATGTTGTGGTGCTGTAAGAGTATGTATTTTTCAGTAGGTATCACACACTAGAATAATGTAGTTCTATCCATACAAAAGGCATACATAAATGCCAGAAACTGACAAGACACACCACAACACAGTAATACTATATAAGTCTGGAGTCATTTTTTTTTTTTATTCTGAATACTACTATGGGTTCACAATAAGGTACAAATTTATAAATGAACTATGTGGTCTTGCATGGCTGAGAACTCTCTAGGAGGTAGATACTAATAGGCTGCAGGAATGAGACAGAGACTGAGAGGAGATTCCTGAGACTCACAGACTAAGAATGTAGATTCCTCACGGGAGATTCCTCATGCTGGGTAAGGGTTGTAAATTGGAGTGATCATTAAACAGGTCCATCTTTTAGCTAGAAGTGGCTGTGGTCTGTGTATGTGTCTGTGTGTGGGGGTGAGGAGTAGTGGTGACGGGCAGAGAGTCATATTTTTATAGATGAGGAAACTGAAACTGAAACTTACCAAAAGTTAAAGTGGATATCCAAAGAAATAACTTTTTTAAAAATAGTACTCTATCAGTTGGTCAAAAAGATTTGTTATATCTGGGGGAATAAAACCTAAAAAATAAAAAAATCCCCTAACTTATCCTATAAACACAGGGTTGTGTCCTGTGTGTTGTTTACTGAGCTCTTACGATAATAGCAGACATTATATTTACAAAATCTGGTGAGGGAGGGACTAATAGTTAAACAACATAAGACTCACTAAGAACCCAAGCTAAATTTTGCTTGACAGAGAAAGAATGATTAGCTGTGCTTGAAAGGGTCTAGATAACTTCATAAACGAAGTACATATTCCTATATTTTTGAACGAACATTTCCTATCTCCCTATTTCCATAGAGTTGGAATAGATATGGAATGAAAAGGACTACAGATTCCCAACTATGAGGGTAGGGATTCATTAGTGCAATAATATAAAAATGCTTCAATTAATGCATACCAAGTAGTCATAAAAGTAGCAGCAAAAATTATAGAACTGGAATTAAATTCTAGGTTTCTCTGGCTTCAGAGCCCTGTGCTCTTTGCTTTTCAATAGCTAGATTATGCTCTTTACTATGAAAATCCAGTTTTCCAAAAGGATTATCCATTATATTAAATTTATAACCAATTTCTAGTTTATTAGTACTAAAGACACAGCTCAGGTACAGTATGCCTTAGACTAATCTATTTTACTACTTTAAACCTATAAGGTATTATTCCTTAAGAACCTAAGTTTATGCTGTAGTTATGTGTAATATGAAAGAAGTGTAAACACTGAGGAGAACATGAACTTTGAAGTCAAATATATTTAGTTTCAAATTCTGGCCCCATCTTTTCTAACTCTCTGAGCTGGTTAAGTAAGTTATTTAACCTCCTAGTTCGTTTTCACTTGCACAGAATGTGACCAATGATTACCCATCTCATAAGGTGTGATGTATGAATGAAATAAAATCTAATGTCTAATACAGGATGACCTCAAAAATATGTAATACATTGCTACTGGATGAAGAACTTTATAGTGTTCAACATGAACGTGGGAGGTTTTATGTCAAGAGGAAACTTAACAAAGCATAGTTAAAAGATTTTTAAATTATCTTTTAGATAGATGAGGAGGAAAGCATATCCAGACACAAACAGTAGCATTACCTGCAGTTTGTTATTTTACAGGTAATATGAAAAGGTTCTTCTAGGTTTACAGTATCTGGGATTGCCTCCAAAGACAGCCTAACGTCTCCGTAACCTGGAGCCTAAGAGAACAAGCAAGAGTTAATATGCATCCATTACAGAGCCTTTCCACTTTAATGAGGGGACCACACCAGCACGCTCACGCAATAGTTGTTGGGGCTCTAAGCTGATATACTAAGAAAATGCTTCTGATTCATTCTGTTTCATTACTCAAACTTCTTTCTCAACTACTACCTGTGGGACAGCCCTGGGCTGTTTTTGCTGTAACTACATGTTCAAGAGACTTAGGATGACTCCCATGGCTAAGTGGTCAGTAGAGAAATTTCAGGGAGTCTCATGTTGAAGACAGGCTTTCCAGAGACACTGTAGCTTACATGCATAACTAAGTAAACAAGGTTACTGCCTAAAGAAACAGGGAAATCATTTTGAAATGAACCAGGAAGAAAATTACGGCTTTTTCACAAGCTATGGGCAACGATGGACTGTAGGAACTTTAAGGCTTCAAAATGTAAAATGGTAACTGCTACACTTCAAAGTAAATCCAGTGATCATAACATTCTTTTTCAATTTACTGCCCCAAACAATACATTTTAGAATATATCAAAACAGGTTAATTCAGCAAAAAGGGAGGATCCTGTAGAATATTGGTACAAGCACAAGAAAAAGAAAATTGGTAGCTATCTCTGCTCTCAGAACAGAAATCAGGTAAAGCATTCAACCAATGCTAATAAGATAAAACTTTAGTGGGACTCACCACCTATGTTTCAGATGCCTTTTAATATCCTTTGAAAAAGTATGAACTGAGAAGGTGAATACAATTAAGTCCAAGAGTATCAGGACATTGTAAACAAGAAAACTGTATAATATATTGGGAGTCAGATAAATAGTGATCATGAATTACCAAAGGAGGAAATAAGTGATAAAAGTTATGAACATTTGGACATTTTTCGTTCATCTTAGTACTGATTCTCTGTCTAAAGATCAGTAGAACTATTAGTCTTTCTTCTTTAATAGTAGTGTCTTTTATAGTGCTCCCATTTTTAGTGACAGACCTAGAAATTTTTTTTAAAAAAAACTTTGTCAGAAGGCATGTACACTTGTGAGACAGAGAAGGTGAGAAAGCACCCCATCCCCCCATGGGGAATAGACACACTGCAAACCCTTCTTCACTTCTTCGTTCTTTTGGGATTTTAGGCAAACATGCATGCGTGCCTAGTTTTAAGTTGCCAGGTCCAGGACTCCACCTGTGAAGCTGGCCACATGGGATCCAAAAACCTTAACCCCAGACTAAGGAAAATATAACTTGCTCTAAATGGCTGTCCCCCAAATACCAAAACCCTCACCAAAGTTTTTTCCAGACTTACCATTCTTTGAAGTTGGCTGGTCTGTAACCTTCCCCTTTCACCTAGATTTGTTTTCCATACTATATCCAATTTTCCAATCACTGTTACTCCCTTAATGATGCCTGCTTTTTCTGCAAACTCCTTCTTGGGCTTCAGGCAGTATAAATACTGACGTGTATCCATTGGTTGCAAATATGCTCTTGACCCAAATGTAGATATGCTGAGAGGGGTGGAGACAGAGATGGAGAAAATTCTTTAGCATTTTTAAAAGTTTATTTATTCTGGGGCCAGCAAGTGATGTGGTGGTTAAGGGTGCTGGCTGGCCATGGTTTGAGTCCCAGACCTGGCAGCTTGCTTTCTTACTTTCCCTCTCTCTTTGGGAAAAGAAAAAAAAAAAAGTTTTATTTATTGTTATTTATTCTGTTATTTATTCTGATGGGGAGGAGAGATGCTCCAAAAGAGTCTTTATATGGAAACTGATCCCCAGCCTCAGCCAGGCAGGATCAGGGGCACACAAGGAGATCTTGGAATGCAAACCTGAAACCTTTTCATGTGGCCTCAGAATGGTGGAGTGCTGCCTTACTGCTGCACCACCGTGGACCACCACTGGCCTCAAACTATGCTGTTAGCAATTTGGAATCTAGTTGTCCCAACCACCATGTCCCAGGCTGGCTCTCTAGCATCTTTTAAAAGAAAAATCATTCCTGTGATTGTTCCTTTTGGACAAAAACTAGATGATTTATTCTACAAAGATCTAGAATAGTACAGGTCAGTGGTTGTGACAAATGAATTTGTTTTTGAACTGACATGAAAAATCTTGAAGTTCTTTATAACAGAATCCACTATATTAGATAAAATTCTGGACATGTATATCAATTTACTGGAAAGTGCAACAGAAATCAGAACACTAAGTACCCTGCCCTTTTCTCTAAAATTATCAAAGAAAATAGTTTACATTAAGAAGAGACATACCATTCTAAACTAAGTAATTCTTTTCAAAAGATTGCAGTCCCTGTACTGAAGACAGTAGAGTAAGGGCAAGGCAGAGAGAGGAACTTGGATGGAGCTTCCCAAGCTGTCTTCCTGAAATGCCACACCAGTGGATAGAGCTGGTATTGCACATTTCCAAAACCAGGTCCATAGTCCTTTCACTGCTAGATGAATCAGAAAACAGGAATAAATCTTGTTCATTTCACAAAGAGGTACTATGACATTTTCCCCCCTGTCAGTAAAGTTTTTTTTGGATGCCCAGAAGAACAAAACAAAAACTGAGAAAAATTATGTCATTTTTATTTCACTTAAGATGGAATCAGGAAAATGATGTGGCATCTTCCAGAACTTAAAATAGCCTCAGACGAATCTGCCTTCTGGTTCTATTACTGAACATGGGGCTTCCTGGTGCTGATCTGTTAATAGCTTTTTGCCATTTTCCTAACAGACTTCGAAACATGTGTCTAATCTTGCTGCTATGTAGTCTTACTGATTCTGTTAGGTACCCTACAAGAAAAAAAAAGAAAAAGCTGAGCCTGGTCTAGTGGTTTTGGTCTTTAATCTATGTTCTTTTACCATGCAGATAACTTAGAAAATGACCAATAAAATTCATAAGTAAATGCTATCGAGGTTTGCTCCCTGTATTACTTACCATGAAAAGACTGCTTCTGCTTATAACTGGTATCACCAGTTCAGCTTAAACATGTTAAAAAGCTTTTAGGGGCCAGCAGTTGGCGTAGTGGTTAAAGGTGCTGGACTCCCACAGGGCCGACTACAGTTCGAGTCCTGGATCTGGTGGCTTGCTTTCTCACTTCTCTCTCTCTCTTGCTCTGTTCCTCTCTGGTCGAATTAAATAAATAAATACATAAATACATAAATAAATAAAGTTAAATAAAAAAGAATTCTTAAAAAAAAGAAAACATGTTAAAGAGCTTTTAATGGAACTATGTGTATGTACATATGGTTAATCCCAGGAGATGTATACATGCACAGAGAAATAAATAGAGCACACCCTGCAATGAAGCTTGGTCCTATTGCAACTCATTTTCCTCCAGTTCTCCCACCCACTGGGATCCTAGGAAGTATGCATATTCTGATGTTTCTTCCAAGCTACTGGAAACTTGATGGGTCATGTGGGATCTGGCTTCCTCTGTGCAGTGCTTAAATGCTGTTCTACGAGACTGGCTCCCTTTTTGCTTTTTTAAATAATCAAGATTATAATGAAAAACAGTCTCCAATGCTACCACCATTCATGGGTACCTTCTAGGTTTTTTTTTTTTTTGTCCTCATACATGACTCCATATTTTAGAATGAATTATTTTATTATTTAAAAATTTTGCTATAGAGCACATAAGCTCACCAGAGAGACAAGGAGAGGGAAAGGGACAAAGCAAGCTGCCAGGACCAGGCTTTAAACTGCAGTAGGTCACATGGGAGTCCAGTACCCTCACACCATGCCACCTGCTGGCCCATAGACTCCATATTTTAAAATCTTTACATTTTTAATTACTTTAGATATTAACTTTTATATTAGCTTTTATACATCTTTATCTTCCTAATAAGCATTTGAAATACCCTCTATGTGCCAGAAACCAGTTTAGAGGTATTATGTAAATCTTTTCTCTTACTAGAATTTTGTGGAACTTTAAAAGTCTAGTAAAATTTGTGTATACAGACATTCTTCACTTAATGACTGACTTCTGTTCCTATAACTAGGTTGTTAAGCAAATTGGTCAATAGGCGAGGAGCTAAAAAGGCAGATTTTTCACGGGTATGTTGTGGTGCTGTAAGAGTATGTATTTTTCAGTAGGTATCACACACTAGAATAATGTAGTTCTATCCATACAAAAGGCATACATAAATGCCAGAAACTGACAAGACACACCACAACACAGTAATACTATATAAGTCTGGAGTCATTTTTTTTTTTTATTCTGAATACTACTATGGGTTCACAATAAGGTACAAATTTATAAATGAACTATGTGGTCTTGCATGGCTGAGAACTCTCTAGGAGGTAGATACTAATAGGCTGCAGGAATGAGACAGAGACTGAGAGGAGATTCCTGAGACTCACAGACTAAGAATGTAGATTCCTCACGGGAGATTCCTCATGCTGGGTAAGGGTTGTAAATTGGAGTGATCATTAAACAGGTCCATCTTTTAGCTAGAAGTGGCTGTGGTCTGTGTATGTGTCTGTGTGTGGGGGTGAGGAGTAGTGGTGACGGGCAGAGAGTCATATTTTTATAGATGAGGAAACTGAAACTGAAACTTACCAAAAGTTAAAGTGGATATCCAAAGAAATAACTTTTTTAAAAATAGTACTCTATCAGTTGGTCAAAAAGATTTGTTATATCTGGGGGAATAAAACCTAAAAAATAAAAAAATCCCCTAACTTATCCTATAAACACAGGGTTTTGTCCTGTGTGTTGTTTACTGAGCTCTTACGATAATAGCAGACATTATATTTACAAAATCTGGTGAGGGAGGGACTAATAGTTAAACAACATAAGACTCACTAAGAACCCAAGCTAAATTTTGCTTGACAGAGAAAGAATGATTAGCTGTGCTTGAAAGGGTCTAGATAACTTCATAAACGAAGTACATATTCCTATATTTTTGAACGAACATTTCCTATCTCCCTATTTCCATAGAGTTGGAATAGATATGGAATGAAAAGGACTACAGATTCCCAACTATGAGGGTAGGGATTCATTAGTGCAATAATATAAAAATGCTTCAATTAATGCATACCAAGTAGTCATAAAAGTAGCAGCAAAAATTATAGAACTGGAATTAAATTCTAGGTTTCTCTGGCTTCAGAGCCCTGTGCTCTTTGCTTTTCAATAGCTAGATTATGCTCTTTACTATGAAAATCCAGTTTTCCAAAAGGATTATCCATTATATTAAATTTATAACCAATTTCTAGTTTATTAGTACTAAAGACACAGCTCAGGTACAGTATGCCTTAGACTAATCTATTTTACTACTTTAAACCTATAAGGTATTATTCCTTAAGAACCTAAGTTTATGCTGTAGTTATGTGTAATATGAAAGAAGTGTAAACACTGAGGAGAACATGAACTTTGAAGTCAAATATATTTAGTTTCAAATTCTGGCCCCATCTTTTCTAACTCTCTGAGCTGGTTAAGTAAGTTATTTAACCTCCTAGTTCGTTTTCACTTGCACAGAATGTGACCAATGATTACCCATCTCATAAGGTGTGATGTATGAATGAAATAAAATCTAATGTCTAATACAGGATGACCTCAAAAATATGTAATACATTGCTACTGGATGAAGAACTTTATAGTGTTCAACATGAACGTGGGAGGTTTTATGTCAAGAGGAAACTTAACAAAGCATAGTTAAAAGATTTTTAAATTATCTTTTAGATAGATGAGGAGGAAAGCATATCCAGACACAAACAGTAGCATTACCTGCAGTTTGTTATTTTACAGGTAATATGAAAAGGTTCTTCTAGGTTTACAGTATCTGGGATTGCCTCCAAAGACAGCCTAACGTCTCCGTAACCTGGAGCCTAAGAGAACAAGCAAGAGTTAATATGCATCCATTACAGAGCCTTTCCACTTTAATGAGGGGACCACACCAGCACGCTCACGCAATAGTTGTTGGGGCTCTAAGCTGATATACTAAGAAAATGCTTCTGATTCATTCTGTTTCATTACTCAAACTTCTTTCTCAACTACTACCTGTGGGACAGCCCTGGGCTGTTTTTGCTGTAACTACATGTTCAAGAGACTTAGGATGACTCCCATGGCTAAGTGGTCAGTAGAGAAATTTCAGGGAGTCTCATGTTGAAGACAGGCTTTCCAGAGACACTGTAGCTTACATGCATAACTAAGTAAACAAGGTTACTGCCTAAAGAAACAGGGAAATCATTTTGAAATGAACCAGGAAGAAAATTACGGCTTTTTCACAAGCTATGGGCAACGATGGACTGTAGGAACTTTAAGGCTTCAAACATGTAAAATGGTAACTGCTACACTTCAAAGTAAATCCAGTGATCATAACATTCTTTTTCAATTTACTGCCCCAAACAATACATTTTAGAATATATCAAAACAGGTTAATTCAGCAAAAAGGGAGGATCCTGTAGAATATTGGTACAAGCACAAGAAAAAGAAAATTGGTAGCTATCTCTGCTCTCAGAACAGAAATCAGGTAAAGCATTCAACCAATGCTAATAAGATAAAACTTTAGTGGGACTCACCACCTATGTTTCAGATGCCTTTTAATATCCTTTGAAAAAGTATGAACTGAGAAGGTGAATACAATTAAGTCCAAGAGTATCAGGACATTGTAAACAAGAAAACTGTATAATATATTGGGAGTCAGATAAATAGTGATCATGAATTACCAAAGGAGGAAATAAGTGATAAAAGTTATGAACATTTGGACATTTTTCGTTCATCTTAGTACTGATTCTCTGTCTAAAGATCAGTAGAACTATTAGTCTTTCTTCTTTAATAGTAGTGTCTTTTATAGTGCTCCCATTTTTAGTGACAGACCTAGAAATTTTTTTTAAAAAAAACTTTGTCAGAAGGCATGTACACTTGTGAGACAGAGAAGGTGAGAAAGCACCCCATCCCCCCATGGGGAATAGACACACTGCAAACCCTTCTTCACTTCTTCGTTCTTTTGGGATTTTAGGCAAACATGCATGCGTGCCTAGTTTTAAGTTGCCAGGTCCAGGACTCCACCTGTGAAGCTGGCCACATGGGATCCAAAAACCTTAACCCCAGACTAAGGAAAATATAACTTGCTCTAAATGGCTGTCCCCCAAATACCAAAACCCTCACCAAAGTTTTTTCCAGACTTACCATTCTTTGAAGTTGGCTGGTCTGTAACCTTCCCCTTTCACCTAGATTTGTTTTCCATACTATATCCAATTTTCCAATCACTGTTACTCCCTTAATGATGCCTGCTTTTTCTGCAAACTCCTTCTTGGGCTTCAGGCAGTATAAATACTGACGTGTATCCATTGGTTGCAAATATGCTCTTGACCCAAATGTAGATATGCTGAGAGGGGTGGAGACAGAGATGGAGAAAATTCTTTAGCATTTTTAAAAGTTTATTTATTCTGGGGCCAGCAAGTGATGTGGTGGTTAAGGGTGCTGGCTGGCCATGGTTTGAGTCCCAGACCTGGCAGCTTGCTTTCTTACTTTCCCTCTCTCTTTGGGAAAAGAAAAAAAAAAAAGTTTTATTTATTGTTATTTATTCTGTTATTTATTCTGATGGGGAGGAGAGATGCTCCAAAAGAGTCTTTATATGGAAACTGATCCCCAGCCTCAGCCAGGCAGGATCAGGGGCACACAAGGAGATCTTGGAATGCAAACCTGAAACCTTTTCATGTGGCCTCAGAATGGTGGAGTGCTGCCTTACTGCTGCACCACCGTGGACCACCACTGGCCTCAAACTATGCTGTTAGCAATTTGGAATCTAGTTGTCCCAACCACCATGTCCCAGGCTGGCTCTCTAGCATCTTTTAAAAGAAAAATCATTCCTGTGATTGTTCCTTTTGGACAAAAACTAGATGATTTATTCTACAAAGATCTAGAATAGTACAGGTCAGTGGTTGTGACAAATGAATTTGTTTTTGAACTGACATGAAAAATCTTGAAGTTCTTTATAACAGAATCCACTATATTAGATAAAATTCTGGACATGTATATCAATTTACTGGAAAGTGCAACAGAAATCAGAACACTAAGTACCCTGCCCTTTTCTCTAAAATTATCAAAGAAAATAGTTTACATTAAGAAGAGACATACCATTCTAAACTAAGTAATTCTTTTCAAAAGACACAGATCTACAAAAGAATAGAAAGTTATTGTTTTCCTCAGTGAAGTTAAAGGAGAGTATGAATTCTTTTAAGTAACCACTGTGATAATATAAAAAAAAGTTTCATTTTTGAGAAATCAGTTACTATCCTTCTTACCTACTGAATACATTATCTATTCCTATGTCCATTTCTTGAGAGAATATTTCTTTTTTTTTTTTAAAAAAAAAAAAGATTTTTGCTATAGGGTGTGTCTGCTCACTGAAGAGACAGAGAGAAGCAGAGAGAAAGAGGCTAGACTTCACCCACTGGAGGGGTGGCCACACTGCAATCCCTTCTCCTCCATTCTCCTTTTGGAATTTTGGGCATGCATACACACTTACCTGGCTTGAGTTTTAGTCCCCCAGGCCCAGGACTGGAACTGTAGTTGACTATGTGGGAGTCCAGCCATGTAACCATTATGCCATCTGCTGGTTCTGAGAATATTTCTTTTTAAACTCATGCTCTACCATTCTTTTCTAACTTCTCTACCATTTTTTTCCATGCTTCAGGTTTTATCATTTGAAGAACAGTGATAGTAGGTTTCATACTTAACTCACTCAATTATGATGGGAATGAAAGAACAAACGTCCCCCAAGAATTGCACCACTCCTAGATGTATCGCAATACCAGATTAACGTGCAGCGTAGATGGAACAAACTTCTACTCTACAGCTCCCTGCTCCAAAAATCCATTAATTTTTTTCCTTTATTATGCCAGAGGACACGCATGCATGCACATGTGAGAGAGAGCAAGCACCCCCAATGGGGCCCATTTAATATGTTGTTAGATAGAAGAAGCATCAGATGTTACACTGTTAAAAATAGTGATCTTAGCCCAAAGGCAAAGAAGCACTTAAAGAATAAGTGATCTGAATAGTACAACAAAATGCAAAGGGCTAGGATCTTTATTTTCATGTGGAGGAAGGGATGAATAGGTATGGCATAGGAGATTTTTTTTTTTCCTTAAGATCTTTTGGCGATGGAGAAAGACAGAGACAGAGAGAGGGAAAGTGAGAAATCACCCCCCTCAGAGAGGAGGGCCATGCCCCAGTACCTTCTCTTCCATTCTCTTGGGATTTGGGGAACAAGCACACACATACCCAGCATGATTTTCGAGCCTTGAACCGTGGTTGACCATGTAGGAGTTCAGCACCTCAACTACCACACCAAATGTTGGCTCCCAGATAGGAGATTTTTAGGAAAATGTTAACTATTTTGAATAATACACAGTTAACAGTACATCATATTGTTCTGTTTGTGAAAACCCATTCAACACAAAGGTGACCCCTAATGTAAACTACAGGCTTAATAAGTTAATAAGTGTCAACACTGGTTTATCAAGTATAACAACTATGCCTCATTAATATAGGCTATAAGTAAAAGGAGAAACTGAAGCAGGGAAAAGGATATGTGAGAACTCTTTTCTGATCAGTTTTTCTGTGATCCTAAAGTTTCTCTGTGAAAATAAAGTCTACTGACCAAAAAAATGTGTATTTCAATACAAGAATAAACATTTCATTATTAATATTTACCATTCTCCAACTTGGTTGATTGAATTTAATTCTATTACATTGTACATTATTGATGGCTCCAATGAAACTTTCTCCATAAACATGGGTGAGGTTGTAATATTCTGAATCTGGGCTTCCAGAAATACTTCATCAGTCTGAGGGTATGAAAAAATATCCACCAAAGTATGATGGTATTTAAAATACTAGCCTCAACAAAAACATCTTATCTATATGAAGAAAAAAATATTAACCACAAATGTGATTAGTTCATGCCTGCAAATCAAAGTTTATCTTAATTAATGCAAGAAAAGAAATCTTCATCCTAACCATTAACAGGGGCAAAGTCAAGTGTTAGTCAACAGATACCTTATCAAACAATGGATGGGGGATAACCGTGATATATTTTTCATTAACATCCAAGAATATTTATTTAACTAGAATTTTATTCACAAATATCCTAAATTCTTCAATAGGTATTAAGATGTTAAAATGCAAGTTAATATGATGAATGTACCTATGCACCTATAATTTCAGTGGTAAGAATAATTAGGCCTTCATCATAATATTACAGATTAATGGAACTTCAATTGTCATATTACTTCAATTTAGATTGTATAATGATCCTATGAGTAATCTGATATTTTTATAGAATTTACTTTTTAAATTAAAACAATTTAAATGATCATTAGTGATTCTTGGTTAATTTTAAGTATATATTGAGGACTAAAAGAAGAGTATGTGAATTATACCTGATAATTACCTGATGATTAGCCTTTAAGTTAATCAAAAGAAGTTTTGTAGCCTTAGTGACAGAAATGAAAATTTGTGCTATTCAGTAATATTTCGGTCACTGGGCAATTAAAATACTTAAATTTATATAAATCCTTAATTTCTTAATTTCTTGATTACTTATTTATTTATATTTATTTTTATGGTATTTGATTACCATTTTCCTTTGCAGATTTGGATGACAGACTAACTTGCTTTATCTTTGGAACGAACCTACATAAAAAATGACATACTAAGGGTATTATTTTTTCAAACACTTTCATCATATATATACATATATACACACGCTCACGTGTATATACATATATACAAACACACACAAAACTAATACAAAAAATAAACTATGACAAAAACATTTGCCATTTATGAGCTTTTCTTTCTTTCTTTCTTCCTCCAATTTTTGCTATTGGGCACGTGTGCTCACTGGAAGCAGAACAAGAAAGAGAAAGTGCAAAGCACCCCCCAGGCGGGGGATGGCCACAACACAGTCCCTTCTCTCCATTCTCCAATCAGGATTTTGGGCACCTACACACATGTGCCCAGAATGTCTCTCAAGCCACAGGGTCTGGAACTCAAACTGGGCAGTTGGCAATGTGGGATCCAGCAACCTTAACCACTGAGCCACTGTCTGCCTATCCATTTATGAACATTTTTAACACTAAAGTGAGAAAAATGCAAACCATTTGCAAAAATATAATGATTAAGTTATAATTTAATGTATTATTTCTAAAATAAAACAGAATTTTTATTATTTGAGACGTGCTCAAATGAAAATAGAAATACAGTAATTTATCAATTCAAATGAATGTACCATTTAATGGAGTTGTTCTGTTACTTTTTCTTTAAAAATAAAACATAAATATATCCCATCAATCCATTGCTTTAAAAAAAAATAACCATGGACCCACATTTCAATTTTACAAAATGTAATTTTCTGCATAAATTTAGGAACAGCTCAGATAAAATGAAAGAAAAAACAAGCAGCATAATGGAAAAGCAAGTTAGTTTGAATAGTTAGTATCATTTGATATTTGAAAAATTAACATAAGAATTTAGTGCTACGGCAGTTGATGTTGTTATTACATATGTAATGTGATATAAGCAAATGGTACTTATTGTACATAGGAATTTGAAAATATGATTTAGATAATCTGTGAAATTTTGCTTTGCTTCTGCTTACTTTTGTCAAAAGGCCATCATTTCCTGACTCAGACTTAAAACTAAAACCTTATGTATCTGAAAATGAATTTCAACTATATAACCTATTCAAAGAATCGAAGACTACTAGGGTATTTTACAGCATGATGTTGAAAATCCCAAGGCTATTTAAACAATGTTAACATGCCTTTTTTAAAAAAACACCTAAAGAAAAAAACACTAAAAATGAAAATATAATTGTTTTGGTATGACAATTTAACTGTTGATCTAATTTGCTCCCACAGAACAAGACAACTGATATACTATAAAAAGTTCATAAGACTTTTATATAGTTTTCTCAAGTCTCATAGGTAGGATTCACAACTAACTGTTTTTCCACTATGTTTTGTAGAGAGATTAATTAGGCAGAGTCAAAAGTGGTGAGTAAGAAAAGCATATAAATTTATAATAAAAAATCAAATTACCACAGAACTGAGGTCACTCTAATGGAAAAATAAAAAAGAAAAATTAGAAAAATCAGAGTTAAATGTTAAAGAAAAAGAATAACTTTAAAATAAAATGCATTTCTGCATTTTTTTATTTACTAAACAAGACAGCATTAGTAAACAAGGGAGTAAACAGGAAGCAACATAAATATGACAAACCGTTTTTCTAGAAGGTGAAACTGCTATGGTTAAATGGTGATGGCATAGAGAACACTATAGTTGAATACTTAAACAGGAATAAAAAATTAAGGGGTACATTTTGGATAGAGAGGTATACCCCATGCCTTTCTGGTTTTATAACTTCTTTACCTACATTGTAATTCTTCATAGATTACTTAGGATGGATAATTATTATCCTCCACATTCAGAGCACACACTGCATAGTTTCTCTTATGTTTGACTTAATATTTTTTTAAAAGGAGCACTGTAAGTGATTAAACTTCCATGGATCATACTTTGAGGAATGCTGGGTTAGACCATTTCAAACAATTGAGAATTTATTCTATTCTTGTTAACAGATTTCTTTGGTCTAAAAAAAGTATATATTTCTTGAGCTACTTACTTATCTAAGGCAATCTCGGATGTCACTTCCTCCCTCAAATGCATAGGCTGGTAATGACTTTTCACCTCTCTGTTCCCAGAGTAAATACACTTCATGGTTGCAGTTGTGAGGGAACAGGGAGACTGGCATGACATAACTAGTTATACTACAGTTACATCAGCCTCCTCTACTAGATAGATGTAAGTTCCTTGAGGATTGGGTAGATTTTCAGTTTATAATTGCCCTTAAGTATCTGTGGAGGATTGGTTTCAGGATGATCATAGATAGCCCCACAGATGTAAATCCCTTATATAAAATGAGGCAGTACAGTTGGCCTTCTGTATTTTTTGATTACACATCCACAGATATATCCAACTGCAGGTCGAATCCAGCCTCACCAATCTTTTTTCATGAAACTTGTTTTCCTTTAGGTAATTCACATATTATTAGCATTCTTAGAGGCAGCATGAAAAACATGTTTGTGATAGATTAATAGTAACAGTCACTGTACAAGGACTACAGCATAGAGTAATATGCATTGCTTACTGATACAATATGGTTTACTAACTCCTACAAGTTATCTCAAATTCCTAGTTGAAGGTTAATAGGATTTGTTTCATCCTACTGGCAGGTTGAACAGTACTTGTTTGCATAAAAGGCAGTAAATGCAATTTATTCACTCCTAGTTTTTAAACAAATGTCTATATTCAAAAATCTGATATTTTACTAAATGCATTTAACTGAATTTTGTTGTCAAAGTTTAAAGATTATGTTTACAAATAATGCTATCTGAAAAAGGCAGCAAACGATTGTCAGTATGATTATGAAAACAAAATATTATATAAAGACTACAAGAGAATATAGATTAATGAAAATCAGTTGTTGGTGTGGCAGAATATGGATCTTTTTGTTGTTTCTTTATGGGAACATGCTACTTCTATAACATTTATGGAATAACTAGCAATTTTTGGGGGGAAATCCTTTGCAAATCACTCATTATATTATAAAACTACTTAATAGGCATCTAAATGTACTACTATCTTAAAGAACACTTAAAATAGCTTAATATATGCCTCCTAGGAGCCAACTATAGGAAGGAAAAAAAAAAACACTCAGAGCTCTGTTTGTTTCTTTTTTTGTTTTAAAGAGAGATTTTTGCTATGGAGCATGTGTGCTTGCCAGAGAGATAGAGACAGAGAGACAGAAAGTGAGGAATCACCCCCCAGGGGGAATGGCCATACCTCAATCCCTTCTCTTCCAGTCTCTTTTTGGGATTTTGGGCATGCACACACATGGGCCTGGAGTGAGTTTTAAGCCACCAGGTCTGGGACTGGAACTGCAGTCGACTATGTGGGAGTCCAGTGACATAACCATTATGCCACCTGCTGGTCCTGCCCTATTTGTTTTTAATTTCCTAAAAACATCTATTCTAACAGAATAGTTAACATTCTCCCCTTATACTATGAATAAAACCTTGTCTAGGAAAATGCTAAGACTATTTAAAATCTGGTGAATAGCAACATTATAATCAACGGTGTGCCATCAATAGCAAAATAGGTAGAATAAAAGAATGTCAACTCTTTGAATATCCTTGATGAGGCTGTACCCTTCTGTCAAATAAAAGGCAACTTCAAAATATCCATGGAAAAATGGAATTAAAGTGTAAGTTTTTTGGTGCAAAAAGTTTTGAAATCCACAGTTTTTTTTTTTTTCTCCATCACTGACTTTTCCGTGAACTTACTGAAAACTCCTCACATTCGTGTTTTTCACTGTGTACTTAACAGTCCAGGTATATTTGTAACCATGCTTGGTAAGCCTATGGCACTGAGACTTGTCAGTTTCTGACACCCACTCTCTCCACTCCTCTCTTCCAAAAAGCTCCAAGATCTCATCCCCAGAGTTCCTGTAACACATCTTTATATATCATTCTCATTTCAGACTCACTGTATATGAGTCTAGGTAGTTTTGTTATCATATGCATTTTTCTTTTCTCCTAATAGATCTTTAACATTGTAGTGATTCTAACTATAACAGTAAAACTTCATACTGAGTAAAAATTCAGCTTGCTTTTGGGAAAAATACCTGTCACATTTACAGGTAATTACCAATCAGATCATCGTCCAGTATTGGAATAATGGAATATAATTTTCATTTTAAATTATTGTATTTGGATATCTTTGACTTTATTACTGTGGCATAAAACCATGATTTGGGGGAACAAGGGTGCTAAGAAGGCTGTGGAGAGAACTGATTTTTTTGTAGCTCTAGGAGCCAAGACAAAATAGAATTTTGGAAAAGAAATCCAAGCAATAAATCCTTTCTCTTATGGCAAATTCTACTTTCTCTCTTTTGTTGGCCTAGAAGATTAAAGAAGCAATTATCTTCTATTCCAAATGTTACTTCTGTCTCTCTGTCAAACTAGTTTCTTCCAAGGAGTTTTTCAAGATATTCACCAAGGGACCAGCAGTTAACGTAATGGCTATGTCGCTGAACTCCTATGTAGTTAACCACGTCCCGGACCGGGTGGCTTAAACTCACATTGGGCCCATGTGTGTGTGTGCCCAAGATCCCGAGAAGAAAATTGAGGAGAAGGGATTGTGGCGTGGCCATCCCTCCTGGGGGGTAATTTCTCGCTTTCTGTCTCTCTGTCCAGTCTCTGTTTTTTTGGCGAGCGCATGTACCCTATAGCAAAAACCTCTCAAAAAAAAATAAATAAATAAAAGATATTCACCAAATTTCAGCAACCCAACTGTAACTAGCACATTGACTTCCCAAGAAAGAATTTAATATGCTAAGTTTTATTTGTGAATATTTTTCCACATGAATATCAAATGTTTTGTAGAATTAGATCTATTACTTCAACTTCTACTGCTCCAAGAACTACATTACAAACAGCAGATTGCTAGTGTTTTTAATCTGCAACAAAGACCATTAAGTGGAGGGCCAGCAGGTGGCGTGGTGGTTGGGGCCACTGGACTCCCAGATGGCCAACCACGGTTCAGGTCCTAGAACTGGCGGCTTGCTTTCTCACTTTCCCTCTCTCTCTCTCTCACTCTGTCCCTCTCTGGCCAAATTAAAATAAATAAATAAAGCAAAATAAAATTATTTTTTAAAAAATATTTATTTATTCATTCAGTTATTTTAATTTGACCAGAGACACAGAGAGAGAGAAAGGGAAAGTGAGAAAGGAAGCCACCAGGCCCGAGACTCAAACCCTGGGAGTGTCCAGTGCCTTAACCACTATGCCACCTGCTGGTCCCCAATAAAATGATTCTTAAAAGGGAGTAAAAAGCCTTTAAAAATCAACAATGAGAATTAAAAATAAAACATACTGATTCCATGAAGACAAAAAATAGCAGATTAAAAGAGATCTATTATCAAATTATTAACTTTTAATTGAACCTCATGCTGATCATTTATTCACCAATAATTTGCAGTCACATCAGCAATTTAATTTCAATGTATAAATGTAATACATCAGATTTTCCATCAAATAAGATCATAAAGTTTAATTTGAAATCCCATTAAGTACCCAACACTTACCTCTGCATTGTAAAATTTGGTTTTCACATCCAATGGTTTGAGAACCTGGTTAAATAAAGCAGGAGAGTCTTATCATTTGACCATTTTTTGTTGTTGTCTATTTTTAAAAAATGAGAGGTACTAGGCTGGCCCTGTGGCCTATTGGTAAACAGAGGCAGATCTTACACGGTCAACTGAATTTTGGCCCTGGTGGCTTGGAAAGCACCAGGAGAGTGTGCATGTGTGTGTGCTCCAAATCCAGGGAGGACACAGAAAAGGAGAAGGGATCGCTGCATGACCATGTGCCACTGGGAGCTGCTTTCTCCTTCTTCCTCCTTCTCTCCCTGGTGAGCACAAACATCCTTTGGCAATAATAAAAAAAAAATTAAAAATAAATCAGAAGTATTAAATTTGTCAAGGACATTTTTCCAATTTTAATTGTTAAAAGGCTTTCCTAACAGGTATGCAATGTTTATAGGGAAAAAAATCTCACATATGTTTTTTTGAAAGGCTACCATTATTTCTTGACTGTTGATAGTTACAATTGGGTATTTAGCTTATAACATTTTTGTTAAACTGAACACACATATTCTCTGCACTTTTCTATATGTATACCTCACAAAATCTGCTTACAAAAAGCTACTGATCTTTTATTTTTAATGAAAAGGCATGCAAATGCATGATGAACCAAAACAACAGCAGAATTTTTTCTATCAATAGTATATATTTTTCCATTTACAGAAAAATTATAAATGCATAATTTGGGACCAGAAGGTGGTATGGTGGTTAAGGCAATGGACTCCCACATGGACAACCATGGTTCAAGTCCCAGACCTGGCAGCTTGCTTTCTCACTTTCCCTCTTTCTTGATGGTCAAATTTAAAATAAATAAATTTTTAAAAATTAAATAAATAATTATTTTTTAAAATATAG